AATTTCGTGGCAATTTCCAGGGTTAACTTGCATTTTTAAATAAGATTAAGTATGGTTTCTTTATATAAAAAAAGAAGATGTGGTATGATTTCCAATGAAGACAACTTTCAACTAGAGACCAAATGACGCAGAACTCAGTGAATTTAATAACTATATGTCACAGTAATGAGCAAAACCCATACCTTGTAGTAAGCTATAAAAGACCGAGAAATGACAAATGTAAAACAATTCATACGACAAAACTAACTACCTGATGTCATCGAGTTGTCTTTTATTATTGCTTTTGTTTTCTTATTTATATTTTGATAAAAAATGTAGAACCTTAATAACTATAAATAGAACATCTAAACCTTCAAATAGTGTTACATAAAGTATGATTTGTTTCCGTTTAATTTTCTTTTTGTTTGGTGGGATTGGGAGGTGAGCTCTTGGTTGACCATCATGTGCACACACTAGCACAAACGGTTCTTTTCTATGAAATAAAATAGATTTTTAAAATATTTTTTATGATGAAATACTAGTTCTTCCCAATGTGCATTAAAATATTACATTTGACTGAAACTGCTAACCTGTGCATTCAACATGTGAAATGTGAGTTATATGGAGAAAGAAACTCTTGTTAAAATTATAATTCTCCGGATTTGAATTAAGTTAACACAGGTCCCATTCGGCAAAACAACAATAACTGAGACATATGCATGTAAGATGAATAAAGGTACATGACGGAAGAGGAGTACAACTAGTACCCATAAAAACACCTAGTGACTGTTGAAAACCACGTCCACCAAACGTTACAAATATGTTGTAAATAAAAAAAAAAAAAAAAAAAAACAAGCACCGTGTCGTGTATCTACCTTGGTATCTCAATAAAAGTTGGACTAATAAATTTGTTTTTAAAAATACTTGTGTATTTATAGGGCCATTAGCAAGCACTAGCTTCGAGACAAAATAAATAAATAAGATATGATTGTTTTACATTTGTCATTTCTCGGTCTTTTATGAAAGTGAAATAGTGAAATAATAATTCGCTTTAATCATCAAGTTTAGTTCAATTTTGACAAAATAAGCTAAGAAACATCGCTGATGAATTATTCACTTGCAAGTGAATAATTCGACCTTATGGAATCCGTATTCATGTGACTTTTAATTTAACCCATTAAGTAGATATTGGTTACGCATGTGTTATTCGTGTTCAGCCATTAAAGGAAAAGAATGTCAACATTGAAAGTGAAACAAATGTGAACATTTCGTCGATTGATTCGATCCACCAAAAATCATTCTTTAATAAGTAAAAACGATGATCGACTTATTTTTATAACCTAAAACATGAAATCAAACAGACCTAGAAAAGTCCAATTGCACGAGGTTGCTATCTATTTATATTATGTGTATGTTCATAGTGGGTTATGTGACCGTTGGCAGTCTTCGGAGGTCATCTCGATGGTTAATTAGATGGCGTCTAGACTAAAATACATACGAAATGCTGCTATATACTATCGAGTCTATGCATTGTTAATTGTTTATTTCAGACTTATTGCAATTTGGATACACGTTTTAGTATGTTATAAATCAAATATGAAAATTGGAGTTGTATCGGTGAACATGAATTTGACAGCTAATGTCCCTTTAAAGAGTAGAGAAATCAAATATTTGGAAGCATCTTCACTATATACAAAGGAATACACGTTGTAAGTTTTACCTATTTCTTGTTTTATTGATCAAAATGAATCTTATCTACTGATCTCAGTAAATGTTCAGACTTAAGCAGCCCAGGTGTACCAAATGCAACATCATCACCTATAGATTTACCGGTACATAAAAACAACAAGGGTTCACAACAGAAAAAGCAAAAATCCAAAGTAAGAAAACCAATAAGAGTAATCAACATAAATTTCCAATCACTTTGCAATAAAAAACCTGATCTATTAGAAATAATCAATTCATGTAAACCAGACATTATCATAGGTACAGAAACATGGCTAGACAAGTCAATACCATCAACTGACTTTTTTCCAAGCAACCTGTACAATGTATACAGAAATGATAGACCAAAAAACAACAAAAACCAAAGCCATGGTGGTGTTTTAATAGCTATCACCAAAGAGTCTATTAGTTCTGAAATTGTAGAACTTAAAACAGATTGTGAGATAGTATGGGCAGAAATAAACATCTCTGGCACAAAAAAGATCTGTGTTGGTAGCTACTATAGACCCCCATCAGATAAAGGTACATCTTTGGAACAACTTAACATCTCCTTGAATAGACTAGATAATACAACAACCACAAATATATGGTTAGGAGGGGACTTTAACCTTGGACACATAGACTGGTCAATACCAGCATTCATCTTAGGCAAACCAGATGCTAAACAACATCAGCTTTTACTAGACATAATATCAAATCACCACTTGCACCAAGCCACAGACAAGCCAACACGTAAAGATAGAATATTAGATCTCATTCTAGTAAACAATCCAACTAGCATCAATAAACTTAACACACTACCACCGATTGGCTCAGCAGATCACGATATAGTCTATGTAGAAATGGACACCTGGCTTAAAAGAGTAAGAGAAACACCAAGAAAAATACTTAAATACAAAGAGGCAAACTGGAACATCATTAAAAATGACCTTACTACAACACTTAACACCATCAATAACTTGTATGACTTGAGTGATGCAGATACATTATGGAACACCTTCAAAAACGATCTTCTCAAATCAATAGAGTCAAATGTACCTCACAAAATGCTCACATACAAGCATAGACTACCTTGGATAAACAACAACCTAAGGAAACTCATTAACAAGAAAAATAAGTGTTATAAAAACAGAAATGAAAACCCTTCGAAATACAAGAAACTAAAACAAACAGTCCAAAAAGAGCAAAGGAAGGCATACTGGAACTACATAGAACAAATTATTTGTGATTTACCAATCAATGAACCGGACCAACATCAGTCCACAAACACAAAACCAAAAAAGCTATTTCAGTTCATCAAAAGCACTAGAAATGATAATACAGGAATTGCGCCTCTGAAAAAAGAAGGCATACTTGTAACAGACACTACTGAAAAAGCAGACATTCTTAATCAACAATTTCAGTCAGTATTTACTAACGAACCGCCAACTAATATTCCTGATAAGGGTCCAAGCCCATACACAAAAATGCCAGAAATAAAAATCACAACACCAGGTGTCGAAAAATTGTTACATAAACTAAATCCACATAAAGCAAGTGGTCCAGATAATATCAGTGGACGGGTTTTAAAAGAACTAAAAGTACAAATTGCACCTATCCTTAACACCATATTTACCAAATCTCTGAAATCAGGAAAAACACCAAAAGACTGGAAACATGCAATTGTTGCGCCAGCATTTAAAAAGGGCGAACGATACAAGGCTGAAAATTATAGACCAATTTCACTCACTTGTATTTGTTGTAAATTGATGGAGCATATTGTGACAAGTAACATCATGAACTATTTGGAGGCAAATAACATACTCTACGATCTCCAACATGGTTTCCGAAAATCGAGATCATGTGAATCACAACTCATTCAATTTATACAAGAACTTCATAACAACAACAGCAAAAATATACAAACAGACCTCATTATTATGGACTTTGCCAAAGCCTTCGATAAAGTACCCCACAAACGTCTACTCTACAAACTTAAATTCTATGGCATTCAAGATAACACTCTAAAATGGATTCAGGCTTTCTTATCAGACCGTACACAAACAGTGGTTATAGATGGAATAACATCAAATACAGCACCAGTTACATCAGGCGTACCCCAAGGAACTGTCCTTGGGCCTATACTCTTTTTAATTTACATTAATGATTTTCCAGAATATCTTGAACACAGCAAATTACGACTCTTCGCTGATGATAGCATTATATACAGAGAAATTACATGTCAACAAGACTGCATAAAACTACAAACAGATCTTAATGCAGCAGCTAAATGGGAGGCTGATTGGCTCATGGCCTTCCATCCAGGAAAATGCACAATTTTAACCATCACACAGAAAAAGAAACCATTCAAACACGATTACATTCTGCATAACCATATTTTAGAACCAGTAACATCAGCAAAATATCTCGGCGTAACCTTACAGTCTAACTTAAAATGGAACAATCACTACGACAACATCATATCAAATGCAAATAAATCTCTTGGCTTTCTGAGGAGAAACTTAAAAGTATCAGACACCAATATCAAATCTCGTGCATACCAATCCATAGTGAGACCAAAACTTGAATATGCATGTAGTTTATGGGATCCGCACACATCAGAATATAAAAATAAGCTAGAAATGGTACAGAGGCGTGCTGCCCGTTATGTATGTAACAACTACCACAACACCAGTAGTGTTACATCCATGTTAAACGAACTACAATGGCCCTCACTAACTGAGCGTCGCGTCAAAACCAGACTAATCATGTTCTATAAAGTAATACATGGACTCATCGCAATTCCATCACTAGTCCTTATACCATCAGATACTAGAACAAGAAAATCACATACCCAAACATTTCGGCAAATATCCACCTCTAAAGACAGTTACAAATGGTCATTTTTTCCGCAAACAATCATCCAATGGAACATGTTACCACAAGTTGTAGTAGCATGTCAAACAATTGAAACCTATAGAGATCAGTTGACACCAACTGTTCTCCACAACATAAATTAACTCTATAAATACCAATGTACATATTTTTAATCACTTGTTGTCTTTGTTTCATGTAAATATCACCAAGTATTCTACAAATTTAAAGATAAATTTTTGTTCTATATAATTTTAATCATATACTCCGCGCATGCAACAGTTCGTAATCTTCAATATAAATGAAGCTGTAACTGTATACCAGAAGAAGAAGAAGAAGAAGAACCAGACATATTGATTGTTACTTTTTTCCGGATAAATTAACGTCTCACTTCCGATCTCTGTATAAATTACATATTTTCTTCTTGACACATGGCGGGAAAATGTTCCTATGAAAAAAAAGGACCAGTGGCCAAATATGTGCGTGTGAACAAAAAACCAACATACTATAGAACTTAAAAAATCTTTCATCCAAATAATCCTGTTTTAGAAATACATACTTAGAGTTAGACAAGGTATTGGTTATAAAAACAAAGAGATGTGGTTTATTTGGCAACTACACAACTATCCACTACACTCTACAGAGGGGGAGGGGGTAGGAGGGAGTCCAATCCCGAAATCTCGAGTTTATTTTTGCTTAATCCCGATTTCCCGGGTCTTATTTGACAATATCCTGAAATACCGATAAAATAACATGCTTTTGGGCAAAATACATTAATTAATGATTGTATACTGTTCAAAGCAATCAGTCAGTTTGTTGTGCAGATTTCCTGTATCTTATTAATATAATCTAGTGAGTCTAGTTTAAAACAAATGATATATATGGAGACTGAGACATTCAAAAAATTAGAAGACACTTTCTCTGAATTGTTCGAATGCTGTCATCAAATTTGGTAGCATTTTCTGATTTTATAAAAATGCTAACTTTTCTTTGCTGAATGGCATTGTTATGGTTTCATTGTAGTAGGCAATGATGCCCTTGATTTTGATTTCATTTTTTGCATCATCATATTCATCCATTTTTCGTCTGCTATCGGAAGACAATCAATAATTAAAAAACAAAATCGATATCTTTATTGAACTAATTACGGATTATTGATCACTTAACCATAACCAAATTAATGACATCATTACTGATACACATTGTTGTCATTGTTGATCATTTTTAACTGTTTTGTTGAATGTAATTTTTTTTGTACACAATGTTATAGATACTTGATCATACTTGTTAAAAGTACAAACCTGAAGAATGTTAAATCAATACACGCATGCTAATTTTTTTTGGGTCTTCAAACAAGAGTCCCGATAGATAAAAATCCCGAATTCCCGGACGTTAATACACGTAAATCCCGTGTCTTGATTAAACTAAATCCTGAAATCCCGATGATAACATAGCTCGTTCCCGAAATCCTGAACTTAAAAATTGACAATCCCGGAGTCCCGATAAAGGTCCTACCCCCGACTACAGTCCAAATTATGTTGATGAAAGCAACTACAGGTCAAACAGCATACAACGAGCTGATGTCATGAGAAAACCCCCCATTCTTGGAGTGGGAGCTTCCTAATTTGTACAACTTGGAAGACAACCCACCAAATGGGGAACTATTCCCCAAATAAGCAACAATCCATATAAATTAAGTACTAGTAATCATTTGATAGTGCAAAAGTTATTTTTTTACTTGGGTCTCTCTCTACTTTAATTGGCACAAATTTATAGAAAATGGGACAACTTTTTCAAAACAATCATATTTTTAGGCAGTTAAGCTGCCTTATGCGAGCACCCTAGATTTGTGTTCTACCCAATAAATGCTGAAATATGTGCCATTGTTATTATCTAGCTGGCTATTATGTTATTTATAACTAATTGGACATTTTTTTAATACTTTTATTTCTGGAATACAAAAAATATGACCAGAAAAACCTTAAATGATCGTCGAACTACCTAAAACTTTTGAAGTTGCACATAGGAAGTAGTGCTCAATAGAAATCCGTATGTAGTTTATTATCCCCTGTGCTTTTGGCTACGATGTCAAAGAACAGTTGTATGAAATATTTCATCGCCGAAAATCGGCAATTACAAGTCGTTTATATTTCCCAAATGGCAAAATGCGCAGGAATATTGTTCATGTACAACAAATCTCTATGATAGAGGAAATAAAGTTATATAAGTGGGCGGTAATTTTTAACTTATCTTGCCAAATAAGGTTGTTGTTATTTTATGAATGAAACGAGGTCATGAAACAGATGCGGAAATCGACGTTGATGGGATGTTTTAAGTAATGTGGACAACTCGTCCCCTAGACAAGTCGGATCGAATCCACTCAAACCGTCTAAGAAGACAACTTTGACCGTTTGTCAGATTTACTTAGGGTTTCATAAAATATTAGACTAACATGTCTAGCGGAGCCATTAATCTTTTGTTTGTGCATTGGGGTCTATTTAGGGGTATTTGGAGGGGCCTGAAGAAGGTAGGGGTTTACTATAGAACCCTCATGATGGGATTTTATTTTTTTTTATTTTCAAATGACTATTTCTCGAAAACAGTAAGTGATAGACACATGCAGTCTTCAGTAATGGGAACAGGACAATAAAAAAAATCAACAAAAATATAGGGTGAGTCCCTGGGGGTCATCCCAACCCCCTTCAATTTGAAATTGTACTTTTATCTTGTAAACCGTCGCGATCCCCACCCCTAAACAATATATATACTTGTCTGGGACAATAAAAGAAATCAAATGAAAATAATTTGGGGGAGTCCCCAGTGTCATCCCACCCCCTCCTGTTTGAGAACTTGGAAATGGTTGAGATCCCCACCCCTAAACCATATATATTCTTGTATGGGACAATAAAACAAATCAAATGAAATATAGGGGAAGTCCATGGGGGTAACCCCCACCCCTTTCTTTTTGATAACTTGTAAACGGTCAAGATCCCCACCCCGAAACCATATATATTCTTGTATGGGACCATAAAACAAATCAAATTAAATTTAAGGGAAATCCCCTGGGGTAACCCCCACCCCCCTTCTTTTTGAAAACTTATAAACGGTCAAGATCCCCACCACTAAACCATATATATTCTTGTATGGGACAAAAAAACAATTCAAATGAAATAAAAGGTGAGTCCCCTGGGGTCACCCCACCCCCTCCTGTTTAAGAACTTGTAAACGGTTGAGATCCCCACCCCTTAACCATATATATTTTTGTATGGGACAAAAAAACAAATATGAAATAAAGGGCGAGTCCCCTGGGGATCACCCCGCCCCCCTTATATTCTTACCCCACCCCCCTTCAATTTGAGAATGTGCTTTTATCTTGTAAACGGTTGAGATCACCACCCCTAAACCATATATATTCCTGTTCGTCATTTCAAGAAGATTTGAATGACATACAGGGTTAATCCATAGGCGTCACTTATGCATATCACAAACCAATTTGTACTGGACTTTGCCCAATGTCAGGCGACCATGGGAATGACGAATTATTGGAGCTTTATTTGGGAGACTTCGTAACAGCATTCTGTTACAATTATTTCTTGTCATGTATGGGACAATAAAACAAATCAAATGAAATATAGGGGGAGTTCATGGGGATACACCACCCCCTCTTGTTTGAGAACTTGTAAACAGTCAAGATCCCCACCCCTAAACCATATATATTCATGTATGGGACAATATAACAAATCAAATGAAATATTTGGGGAGTCCCTGGGGTCACCCCACCCCCTCCTGTTTGAGAACTTGGAAATGGTCAAGATCCCCACCCCTTAACCATATGTATTCATGTATGGAACAATAAAACAAATCAAATGAAATATAGGGGGAGTCCCTGGGGTCACCCCACCCCTCCTGTTTGAGAACTTGTAAACTGTCGAGATACCCACACCTAAACCATATTTATTCCTGTTCATCATTTCAAAAAGATTTGAATGACATACAGGGTCAATCTCCTAGGTGTCACATATGCATATCGCTTTACTAGACCAAACCAATATGAACTGGACTTTGCCCAATGTCAGGAGACCATGGGAATGACGAATTATGGGGGCTTTGTTTGGGAGACTTCGTAACGACATCCTGTTACAATTATTTCTTGTTTATTATAAAATTTTATTGATGCAAAAAATGAGTCTAGGTTAATTGAATTTACTTTAATTATTTATTAAATTATTTCTGGGCCTATAATAATTTTCATTTATGGCTCATTTTAAAGAAAACATATAAATCTTTCAAGCAGTGTAAAGCCCGAGAATGTTTGACCAACTGTTTTATAATCACCTGTCATTTTATTCCAAACTTGGTATGGAGTAACATCATGCATATGGGGGTGAAGATGGGGGTCATTTACATTGATATATGAGTTGCTTTTGAAAACCTTGATGAAATATTAATTAATTTGCCTTAATAATCAATTCATTTAATGAACATAAATGTACAATATACGAACGTTTAATATTTGTTCTTTCAAATCTTAAAAAAAAATTGAAGCAACCCTGTCACAGTTTTCATAATTACGTTTGCCTTGGTTTTTGGTTAACTGCCTACAGCGCTTACAGTGCTTTGATTTTATTTTGGGGTTTGAAAAAAAAAAATAAATTGGTCAATTTTTTTAAAATTTTTTATCTTTCATAGGCTTGTTATGTAGCTTCTCAGTACATCAGATATTGGACTAATCATTTTTTGGAAAATAGCTGCTTTTTTTAATAAATATATGCCATTTTGAGTATAAATTGTACATTCAAAAAACATTTTTAACACTGGAAAACTATTCCTTTATATGAGGGATAAATAGTTGCTAATTTGAGCAGAGACATACACATGTGTATATATGTCTCTGATTTGAGGGAACTATTCCCCATTTTGTGGTTTGTCCCTAATCTGTTGTAAACAACTTGTCCACCAGTCTGTTCGCACTCATAAACTTACCCCAAAACACAAAAAAACTTCCAATCACTTAATAATATAATCCATTAAACACTTCCTGTTTAGTAATACTTTGAATTTTTCAATTTAGAATATTTCATCACACTTTTCTCGGGTACTACTGAACAGAATTACTTCATGTTTAATCAGCAGCTTGACAGTGATGAGTTGTAACGAGTGAGCACTGTTTTAGCTCACCTGGCCGAAAGTCCAAGTGATCTTTTCTCATCACTTGGTGTCCGTCATCCGTCGTGGTTGTCTTCACTCATCGTCGTCATCCGTCGTTGTTAACTTTAAAAAATCTTTGACTCTGAAACTACTTAGCCAAATTTAACCAAATTTGGCCGCAATCATCATTGGGGTATCTAGTTTATAAAATATGTCCAATGATCCTGCCTGCCAACAAAGATGGCCGACATGGCTTAAAATAGAGCATAGGGGTAAAATTCAAGTTGTGCTATTATTTTGAAAACCGCTATGAAAAGAGAAAATCTGACAGGGCAAAAAAGTTCAGAATGTTAAGCTCTACCTATTGTTTGTTTACGTCCAAACTGCAGCCAACTTCTTGTTGGAGTTATTGCCCTTAGATGATGAATTTTACCATTTTTAAAAATTTTTGCCTATTATTTCAAAAATTATAATAGACGTAGAAACTTTGAATAGCAAAAATGATCAGCAAGACAAGTGCTGCAAATAAGTCTACATGGCCGAAATCTTCAGTCGACTCCTCATTAGAGCCTTATAATGACGATTTTTATATTTTTTTTTGCGTTTTTGCCTAATATCTTAAAAAACTATATTAGATAGATAGGAACTTTAAATAGCAAAAAAATTATCATCAAGACAAGATCTACAAATAAGTCAACACGACCAAAATTCTTAGTTGAATCGTTATTGAAGTTATTGCCCTTTAATGATGATTTTTCTAAATTTTGCCTATTAACTTGAAAACTGTAATAGATAGATAGAAACTTTAACTAGCACAAATGATCAGCAAGACAAGATTCACAAATAAGCGATAATGGCAGAAATCTTCAGTCGACTCAATATTGGAGTAATTGCCCTTTAATAATAATTTTTAACGTTTTTTGCCTGTTATCTTGAAAACTGTAATAGATTAATAGAAACTTTAAACAGGAAAAATTATCAGCAGCATAAGATCTACAAATATGCCAACATGACTGAAATTGTCAGTTAACTCTTAATAGAGTTATTCCCCTTTAATGATGATTTTTACTAAAATGTGGCCATTGTTGAAGACACAGGTGAGCGACACAGGCTCTTTAGAGCCTCTAGTTTTAAAGATCTGTCCCATACCTACTTCCTGTTTTCATGAACTTTGAATTAGGAGTGGGGGTATGATTAGTACAGATATTAGTCCATGCAATTTTGTTTAACTTATTTGGGATACTGAGTACAGACTGCCCAATTAGAAAATCCCTCCAGATTTAGAATCCCAAAAGGGATTAATTTAGGATCCTGTCACACTTTATCCATAATTATGCATTTTTTATGGTGCTACACTTGATTAACCTATTGACACATTCATACAACAGTCACTAGCATTTCCTTTAGTGAAAGTTCCAATATAAAATGATAAATACTGCCCATAAAGAATTTTAAATACGGTAGATTAAAAGTATCATATGTATTAATATAAACTTGTATGTTTTAATTAAGTCTCCCAAACGAAGTTTGGGAAGACTTATTGGTTTTGCTCAGTTCTTCTTCTTCTTCTTCTTCTTCTGCCACTTTTAAATTTGAACTTGTCCGCACCGTTCTCCAAAACCGCTTGTCAGATTAACTTAGGGTTTCACAATATGTTAGACTAACATGTCTAGTGGTGCAATCAGGGTTTTGTTTGGTCAATGGGGTTTATAAAGGGGTACTTTGAGGGGCAAAAAGAAAGGAAGGTTTTACTATAGAACCCTATGGGATTTTATTTTTAAAAATTTAAAAATGATTATAAATTGAAAACCGTTTGTGATAGACACAATCTTTTTAATTGAAAATGTTCTGAATGATAAAGCACATTAAATGAAATTCAGGGTTAGTCCCCAGGGGTCACCCCCACCCCATGCCATTTAAGAAAGTTCTCGTATCTTGTAAGTGGTCAAGATCCCCACCCCTTAACCATATATATTCTGGTTTGTCATGCTAAGATGGTTTGAATGATATACAGGGTTAGTCCCCATAGGTCATCCCGACCCCCTGCCATTTGAGAAAGGTCTAATATCTTGTAAGTGGTCAAGATCCCCACCCCTAAACCATATATATTCTGGTTTGTCATGCGAAGATGGTTTTAATGATATACAGGGTTAGTCCCCAGGAGTCATCCCGACCACTGCCATTTGAGAAAGTTCTAATATCTTGTAAATGGTCGAGATCCCCACCCCTATACCATATATATTCCTGTTTGTCATTTCTCGAACATTTGAATGATGTATTTGGTCAGTCCCCAGGGATTCCCCCCACCCCCAATGTTCTAGTATCTTGTAAATGGTTGCGATCCCCACCCTTAAACCATATATATTCCTGTTCGTCATGTCTCGAACATTTGAATGACGTATAGGGTCAGTCCCCAGGGGTTCCCCCCCACCCCCAATGTTCTAGTATCTTGTAAATGGTTGATATCCCCACCCCTAAACCATATATATTCTGGTTTGTCATGCCAAGATGATTTGAATGATATACAGGGTTAGTCCCCAGGCATCATTAATGCATATAACTATTTTTCACTGGACTTTGCCCAATGTCAGGCGACCCTGGGAATTACGAAACATGGAAGCTTCGTTTGGGAGACTTCATAACAGCATCCTGTTACAGTCATTTCTTGTTTCCATAGCATTTAAACCAATTGGCCTGCGTCATTGTGAGAAAGGGACCAAAATCGTAACCCTGAGTGATGGGAGAGAAATGGGTACAGGGTTAATATATAATTAAGTATATTAGTTACATTTCAGTCTCAGCAATCCTATAAATGAGGTTTGGATAAATCAGAACATAAAAGAACAACTTTCCAATCATGCAATATCATTCTAAATTGTCTGGTTGGTCCATTGCCTTTTTGGTTGAAACCAGTAAATTTAAAAAATACACAAATCAACTGAGACATCTAGATGTTATACACTTTAATTACATCATTAAAAATGTGAGCAAAAGGAGTGTGTTATTGAAGATTCTATAAACTCTTTATGAGCAAAAAGAGAGTGTTATTGAAGATTCTATAAACTCTAATGAACAAAAAGAGAGTGTTATTGAAGATTCTGTAAACTCTTGTGAGCAAAAAGAGAGTGTTATTGAAGATTCTGTAAACTCTTATGAGCAAAAAGAGAGTGTTATTGAAGATTCTATAAACTCTTATGAACAAAAAGAGAGTGTTATTGAAGATTCTGTAAACTCTTATGAACAAAAAGAGTGTGTTATTGAAGATTCTGTAAACTCTTATGAACAAAAATAGAATTGCCTGAAAATTTACACATCGCCAGGTAAACTAAATTTGCGACAGTAAATGGACGTCCGCAAAGCTTCAAATACAATACAGTTATCTATATTCTAATGCAAAATAAATAAATCATTCAATTTTAGTCATTATTTTGATGTATATTTTCATTAAACGAAAATTCCGCGAAATGATGTTATCTTCTTTGGTGCCTATACTAGGTGACGTCGTAGGTTTGCTTCCGGCATCAGACGTAATCACTGCGTGTTTTCTGGCTTCTTGTCCACTTCAAAATGTAATAAAATTTGATAAAAAGAAGATTTCTATGTGCAAAATGTGAGTTTTTTGCTTATTATTGGAGAAATTACATGTCAATACATTCTGGAATTCAAAATGTGGGCTTCCTTAGTTACAGACAGAGAGATAGAGAATTTTACGCTTATTGTCATCCAATCAGAACCATTGAAACAAAATAATTGCATTAGAATGAGAAAGATACATACAGTAGAAAAAGCAAATCAGGAAATGAGAATATCTTTGTTTTCACAGATTACATACACCTCAAAATTTTGTTTAAAAGCAATAAATTCTTAGCAAAAAAAGATATATTTTCTATCAATTTTATTCTAATGTTTTTAAAGGCAGTGCTTTAATGCCTTTCTAGTTGCCGGGTTAATCCTTCCTTCCGCGATATCCAACTTATCTACGTGGGGGGTCATTAGACTCCAAGTAGATCCGGAAATGTTGAATTCTCTCCTCTTCTTATTGCGATTTAAAATGTTTTTTGTTTCATTTCATTTACATTGGGAAATAGAGAAACGATCATTGTGTTTTTTTAGTTTTAAAAACTTTTGATATATTAGTATTTTGCATTATAAGCAGTCAACCGATTGACAAACTAGAATTATTTGAATTCCGTGTGGAAAGAGCTCGGGTTAATTTCGAGTGTTATCTGCAATCTAGATGTTTATAAATCATTTCAGTCGTTGATATAATAATTAAAGGTCGACTGAACATGAATTATATTATACAATTTAAAGCGCATTTCTGTTTATGCACATGAACCCGTCTAACGTTATTTTCGCAGTTATATAAAGTAGCAAATTATCGTTCCTGAATAGGTGGCGCCGTGGTAGCGGATCCCTCTTCTTCCGGTTTCTGCACTGTGCAACTATTTCAGTTATATTTTTAATTAACGATGCCAAGTACTTGTTGTTGTGTACCTGGATGTCATTTAAGAGGAGGACATGCATTTCCAAATGACTTAAAAAGAAGGAAAAGTTGGATCAACGCCATGGCCCATACGCAGATTGGACGAGAACACGATGATATCGTGGAGTCCATCTCAATCAGCTGTTGTTTGCAAGGCACGTTTTACTGAAAAAGACTACGTGCAGGAAACTATTCATGGTAAAACTCTATTTTCTTTGTGAAATATATAGTTATATATGTAATCGCCATGCGAATAAACCAAAGTCTGTTTACAACCGCAATTATCGTTTTAGAATAAAAGGGGGTGGGTAATTCAAGACGTCATAATTTTTTGGATTACGATTCAATGTGATCTGTTTGAGATTTTTTGGTGATTGCTACAATTATAATGATTTCTTACAAGAGGTATATCATACTGAGAATTATTTTAGCAGTAATTATGCTATGTAGTAATGACAGGAATGCATAAGCTATGCCTCATAGACTTTCTTGAAAAATATCAATGACAATGTTAACAGGAACAAAACAATGACATGCTCTCATCTATATTATAGTTATTTAGGTACAAACAATGTACGTTTGTTGCATAAGTCTCTCATTGTTTGTCCTTTGGATTTACATAACATACATTGAATCAGGCAAACATAGTTTTATCCAGATTGTAATGAATAAATCTAGTTAATATTTCGCCAGGTAGTATAAAGTATACATTGCTAATGGAAGTTCATTTAATTATAAAAAAACTAATGTTTTATAACCTTTTTCAGGGCGCAAACCCACCATACAGAGACTTAAGTCTACTGCAATTCCCAGCCTATTTTCCTGGACCAAGCAAGAGACTGAATCGTCCGCAAAAAGAAAAATCAGGGCAGTTTCCTGTGAAAACAAAAGAACTAAACTTGATGAATATTGTAGTAGAAATCTAGAGGAAAGTTTTGATTGTAAAGTTGGTTTTCCTGAAGAAGTCATTCATACTGCAGAAAGGATTTATGACTGTCCACCACCAACTGCCGAGCTAATGTTGAGCTTCACAGATGGAATTACGCAAACACCATCAATGCCTATGTTTTCAGCAGAGTATTTTGAAGTGAAGACACTTGACACAGCCATGCATTTTTATACCGGTTTAGAGTTGTATACTAAATTTTTATTTGTTTTGACCACACTTGGTCCAGCAGCACATTGTTTGAGATACATATATTTTCAAATTGATAGGGTGTCAGTTGAAAATCAGTTTTTTTATGACTTTGATGAAATTGAGGCATCATACAACCAACTTTGAACTGTCTAGATTCTAGATTGAATCTAGTGTTAAGAATATTGTGTATACATGGATTGTTTTTATGTCTAAACAGTGGTGTGAGGCTAACACTTGGCCATCTAGTGGTTTAGTCAGGTATTTTTCACCATCCAACTTCAAATTAAAGTTTCCTACGACTTGGATTATTATTGACAGCACAGAATATCCCGTGATAAAACCTAAAGCTCCTAGAGCTCAGGCAATCTTTTCATCAAATAAAAACAGAAACACTGAAAATTCTTGAATGTTCGACACCTGGTGGTTTAGTCAACTATGTCTCTATGTCACATAGAGCGAATTATTGGACTTGGCAAAACATACAAAATTCTAATAAATCCTATGAATGGAACTGAAACAAAACTTTCATCTGAAATAACATTTAGTTGTTTTATGTTGTGTAATTTTAGAACTTGTATTGTGCCAAAGGATGCATAAATAAAAGTGACGCAATGAATTTTGTTCTGATATATATATATTTACAATTACATGCACATGTAAATTGTAATGCATATAAAAATAAGGAGATGTGGTATGATATTCAGTGAGTTTATCAAACTAAAGTGCATAAGAAATGGGTTTAAGCAGTTACAGTTGTTACTGTCACCGTACAATCTCCAACAATGAGAAAAACTCGTACCCTGTAAAAAATTTCAGAGATCTTACAACTAAGTTTTGTTGTCTCACCTTGACTTTGGTGAATTTTTTATATCTGTTGTTGTAAATATAAAAAAGAAGATGTGGTATGATTGCCAATGAGACAACTCTCCACACATGCACAAGAGACCAAATGACACAGAAATTAACAGCTATAGGTCACAGTACGGCCTTCAACAATGAGCAAAGCCCATACCGCACAGTCAGCTATAAAAGACCCAGAAATGACAATGTAAAACAATTCAAACAAGAAAACTAACGGCCTATTTTATGTAAAAAAATGAATAAATATAACAAATATGCAACACATAAACAAACGACAACCACTGAATTACACTTTTATAGGCTCCTGACTTGGGACAGGCACATACATGTACATACAGAATGTGGTGGGCTTAAACATGTTAGCGGGATCCCAACCCTCCCCCTAACCTGGGACAGTGGTGTAACAGTACAATATAAGAAAGAACTATAAAAATCAGTTGAAAGAGGCTAAACTCATCAGATGGATAAATACAAAAACAAGTGGACGTGGTCAGGTAGTTGTACATCCAAACAACAAAAAGACACTAAGTACAAATCTGAGAGTACTCGCAGTTACTGACAGCTAGTTCAAAGCCACTAACAACTGATAAAAAAATCTTGCATCTAAGACTAAATTATCAATCCGTAAGCTCCCTTTAGAATTTTATAAATTTTAGATTTTACATTTCTGAGTTATGGGGTTTTATTCATTAAAAAAGGGGGGATTTTCCAGTTTTTGGACAACAACTCGAAAATGCTTTAAGCAGTTCACATGAAACTTTGGTGAATTATTTATAGCTATTGATGTAATCTCCCTATTGATTTTCATAAATTTCAAATATGACATTGAGAAGAAATTGAACTTTATTTGTTTATAGTCTGGCAACAGATTTATTAAGTATTGCACAACAGCACAGTGTATTGCACAACAGCAAGAAATCTTTAATTGAATATAAATTCAATTCATATAACCGATCTCAAGTTCATTGACTACATTTATTCAGAAACTATAATATGTCAAATATTTAATTACAATCCAAATTCAGACCTGTATCAAGCTTGAATATTGTGTCCATTTTTGCCCCAGCTGTTCAGGGTAGTACCTCTGCGGGTGTATCCAGCTGCGCTCAGCGAATCAGTTTATTTCTTAATAAGAACTCCTTTTTATACGACCGCAAAAAAATTTTTGTGGTCGTATATTGGTATGACGTTGGCGTCGTCGTCGTCCGAAGACACATTAGCTTTCGCACTCTAACTTTAGTTTAAGTGAATGGATCTCAATGAAATTTTAAAATAAGGTTCAATACCACAAAAGGAAAGTGGGGATTGATTTTGGGGGTTATGGTACCAACAGTTAAGGAATTAGGGGCCAAAAATAAGCATTTTTGTAACTTCCAGACATAACTTTTGTGTAAGTGTATGGATCTCTCTGACATTGTACCACAAGGTTCCATATCACAAAGGGAATGCTGGGATTGATTTTTGGGGGTAATTGCCTCCAAATTTTAGGAATTAGGGGACAAAAAGGGGCAAAAAACAAGCATTTTTCTAGTTTCATGACAATAACTTGTGTGCAAGTCTATGGATTTCTCTGACATTGTATCACAAGGTTCCATATCACAAAGGGAATGCTGGGATTGAATTTGGGGGTAATTGCCTCCAAATTTTAGGAATTAGGGGCCAAAAAGGGGCAAAAAACAAGCATTTTTCTAGTTTCATGGCAATAACTTGTGTGTAAGTGTATGGATCTTTATGAAATTGTACTACAAGGTTCCATATCACAAAGGGAAAGCTGGAATTGAGTTTGGGGGTAATTACCCAAAAAGTTTAGGAATAAGGGGCCAAAAATAAGCATTTTTCTAGTTTCCAGACAATAACTTGTGTTCAAGTGTATGGATCTCTCTGAAATTGTACTGCAAGGTACCATACCACAAAGGGAATGCTGGAATTGATTTTGGGGGTAATTGCCTCCAAATTTTAGGAATTAGGGGCCAAAAAGGGGCAAAAAACAAGCATTTTTCTAGTTTCATGACAATAACTTGTGTGTAAGTCTATGGATCTCTCTGACATTGTATCACATGGTTCCATATCACAAAGGGAATGCTGGGATTGATTTTTGGGGTAATTGCCTCCAAATTTTAGGAATTAGGGGCCAAAAAGGGGCAAAAAACAAGCATTTTTCTAGTTTCATGGCAATAACTTGTGTGTAAGTGTATGGATCTTTATGAAATTGTACTACAAGGTTCCATATCACAAAGGGAAAGCTGGGTTTGAGTTTGGGGGTAATTGCCCTAAACGTTTAGGAATTTGGGACCAAAAAGGGGCCAAAAAACAAGCATTTTTCTAGTTTCCAGACAATAACATGTGTTCAAGTGTATGGATCTCTCTGAAATTGTACTGCAAGGTACCATACCACAAAGGGAAGGCTGGGATTGAATTTTGGGGTGATGAATCATAAGGGGGTTCAAAAAATTTTGGGGGGGGATTCTTTTTCCTTTTTTTTCTTTAAAATTTTCCATTTTAAATTGGTTATTTCTGATTTATATATAAAAGCAAATAATAATGATATGGTTTGAATAGGTAAATTAAATTTTTTTAAGTATCTTAGACCACTTTCATTCTGTGTCAGAAACCTATGCTGTGTCAAATATTTAATTACAATCCAAATTCAGTGCTGAATCAAGCTTGAATGTTGTGTTCATACTTGCCCCAACTGTTCAGGGTTCGACCTCTGCAGTCGTATCAAGCTGCGCCCCAGCGGAGCATTTTATTTCATTCATAAATTACTTTATGCTTGGAAATATAATTTTGCTTGGAGTTGAAAGAGTTGACATGTTGCAATGTACATTTACTCTACATAGTTCTATGGTACCAAATCAAAAGTTTATATAAAGAAAGAAGTCAAAGGTTTCCCATCATAGTTTAGTTACATACATTTTTTTTGTACCTGAGGTCGTTGAATATAGATCATTATATAAATAAGGAGATGTGTTATGATTGCCAATGAAAAAACTAAGGATTTTCTTATCCAAGGAATAGATTACCTTAGCCGTATTTGGCACAACTTTTTGGAATTTTGGGTCCTCAATGCTCTTCAACTTTGTACTTGTTTGGCTTTGTTACTATTTTGATCTGAACGTCACTGATGAGTCTTATGTAGACGAAACACACGTCTGGCGTATTAAATTATAATCCTGGTACCTTTGATAACTAATTTGACTATAAACATAGATAAAAAAGGTACAAACTGGACATAATGCACTAGTTCATAAACAAGTGAGAACAATCACCTTCATATAGTGCTCAGAATATGACATTCATAAAACTTATTCAATAGCATTAGAGAACTCTAAATCTTAAATACTGAAAGCCACCTCTGATAAGTACACTGTACTATACAAGATAATGATATAACTGGACTTAAAATACACACAACCTGTAATTAACTGCCTTTACAGCGCTTTCGTGCTTTGATTAAACTTATCTATTAAAATGAAATGTCAGATAAATTAAAGTATGGGGTTTAAGATTTGTTGGGAAATCGAGGCTTTCCAACACATACCACACCTAAAACACTATACACCTTTGTATTATTTAAAACACACTTTTATGTATGATCATTCATTAATATTCAAGTCATTTAATATGGCATTAATACAAACTGAAGGAAAAGTGACAATTTTTAAATACCTAATCATGCACTTATTGTTTTCTGTTTAAAATCTCGCATGCTTTGACAATCAAGTGAAATGAAGTGAAATTAATTTTGTTTACAACTTTTTTTGAGGAAATTTTTCAAACAAATAAGGTATTTTGAATTATATACTTAGAATACAGCAAAATAAGTGTTAAAATGCTTATAGTTATTTATTAATCAATGACTTATAAATTGTCCATTTATTACAATGCCATGTGTTTGAGAACAGGTAATTATTGGAGGTCTAATTCAGAAAAAAACATGTCTATTGCATAATTTTAACTAGTCTGATATAGAATTTAAACTTCTGATCTCCAATATAGGATTTAAACTTCTGATCACAAAATGCAAGTGTAATATGCAAAATGTAAAATGTTTAATTTAAAGTTTGATGTAATAAACCTATATATATTATATATGTATTATAGTATTTTTTTTCTTTTATGATGTTTTTGTCACCAAATAAGATTGTGTTAGACATTAAATTTAGAAAGCAATATATTCTTATTTTTTATATAGATTAGACCGTTGGTTTTCCCGTTTAAATGGTTTTACACTAGTCATTTTCGGGGCCCTTTATAGCTTGCTGTTTGGTGTGAGCCAAGGCTCCATATTGAAGGCCTTACTTTGACCTATAATGGTTTACTTTTACAAATTGTGACTTGGATGGAGAGTTGTCTCATTGGCACTCATACCACATCTTCTTATATCTATTAAACCAGAACAGTACTCTTATTTAAGCCCTTTGATCTTGATGAAAATTTGATATATTGGCTAATAAGGAATGAATGTAGAAGAAAGTAGAGAGCACAAAGTGTGTTTCAGGTGGTATAAAATTATGTTGTGTTGAGTCTCGATTAATTGCTGGAGGAAATTAAAGTCGGGCAACAGCAAAAAGAATGTGTATTACCTGTTGCATGCCCCCCCAAAAAATAGGGTTGGAAGGTCGAGATTTTTTTGTTCATTATCTCATCATGAAGTTATTTAGACTGTTTTTTCCGATAACAGTGGAGTCTATATATAAATTAGGGTCTGCCGTGCTCCCAGAAACACACCTATTTGTTTTTTTTTGCCTCGGGTGTCATATAAAATGTGTCTTCATATTGATCCTGTATCTTTACTAACAGGCCAATACAGCTTACCTAGACCTAAAATAACTGTACTTAGATATAGTATTGGATCAATCATCATGTAAACACCCATTTTTAAAATAACATTATAATTAATACAGTATCAACAATAATCATTTGCTGAAAATATTTTTATGCCCCACCTACGATAGTAGAGGGGCATTATGTTTTTCGGTCTGTGCGTCCGTTCGTTTGTTTGTTTGTCCATCCGTCTGTCCGTCCATCTGTCTGTCCCGCTTCAAGTTAAAGTTTTTGGTCAAGCTAGTTTTTGATGAAGTTGAAGTAACCAATCAACTTGAAACTTAGTACACATGTTCCCTATGATATGATCTTTCTAATTTTAATGCCAAATTAGAGTTTTGACCCCAATTTCACGGTCCACTGAACATAGAAAATGATAGTGCGAGTGGGGCATCCGTGTACTATGGACACATTCTTGTTTTTGGTGTTTTTGAAAGGATACCAAATATTTGATAAAATAATCTTTTGTCCCTGTCAGTGTGCTACTTTTGAAAAAGAAATTTAGAAGAGACGGTTTATCTTTTGATTAAAGTGAAACATAGTTGTCTTTGATCCTTTACAGAAAATTATTTCCAAAAGTTTTGTAGTCCAAAAGATCAGATAACATGTCATAGTGATCAGCTTCACTGATGTCTTCTGATTTGTTTGTGGTGTCCAGTTGCTGTTACATCAATGATGTTTATTGACTTTATCCCACATTTATTCTTTCGATTCATACATTATAGCACAAGTTTTGTTAGTACAGTCAACTTGAAACATGTAAAATAAATAATGTACCGGTATGTATATGCCTGTTTCAGTAATATAATTTTTTTTTTTTTTTTTAGAAATAATTCACAAGGATGGAAAATGGGTAATAAAGAGTCCAGCAATCTGACCTCCAGATCAAGTAATGAATCTGATGAGTCAGTGGATGTTCCTGATGAGACAACAACTATTCAAGGTCAGAGGTATGTCACTGGAGGAAGTATGACGCATAGTAGTCACATGACAGGTAGAAATGAAAATGACAATGATGATAACACATCAGTACCCCCACCCTATATACCTGATGATTTGATGCCATTGATGAATGAGTTTCAAGACCACAATTTACCTGTTTCACCAGAAAGTGAGGTGGATATACCTGTCTTTGATGAAGAGGACAATCATTCTACCCCAATTACAAATTATCCTCTGAATACTAATCAGAATGGACTAGAATTACCTGTGTATGACAACCACAGTACACCTGTCTCTAACAATTCAAAATCATCTGACGAGGAATCATCTGTAAATACTAGCAGTAGCCAATCAACACCTGACCAGGAAGAATTACCTGTGTATAGCAAACCAAGAGCACATGTGCATAGAAATAAGACTCCTGATAACGTGGCAGTGTATATCGATAAAGACGATCAAATATCACCTGATGAAGCACCTGTTAACACATCGAATAATGCACCTGACAATCGGGCACCAGATAAGAGCAGTACCACAGGTGGCATTACTCGAAGTAATAGTGTTATAAGTAGCAAATCGGAAAATTCTGAATTACAGGCACACACATTGTCACCACTTGCCTATCAGGTAAAAAGTTGTGAAATTTGTAGAAAGATAGTATATATATTAGCCTAGATATTGAAAAGTTAAGAATCACACAGAAAATCTTTGGAGTTTTTAGCTACTAGAATAATAAACATCAATGTCACACGAATTGCCTGAGCAATAAAAGTTTTAATTACTGTGGATTCATTATTATTCGTTGGATACCAATTTTCATGGATTTCGTGGGTAAAGGTGAACCACAAAATAAAATGCTCAACGAATGCCGAATTTTCTATAGGCTTGTATACAATCATTGGCAAAAACCACAATATAAATATCAACGAATATGTAAGTTTTCCTTAATCCACGAAAATTGGTGCCCACGAAAATAAGTGAATCCACAGTAGTACATACATGTGCAAAAACATGTGTTTTGGTGTAGTTATAAAAGTTTTAAATTTGGCAAAATGTTTAGTAAGAATAGCTATCTGTTAGAAGGATTTATAGGAGTAAATAGTTTGCTCATATATTGCAATCAAAGGTCTTTAAAAGATTGCATCTGTTATATACTTTTAATTACTTTAAACAACAGGCACAATATTTTTTAACAAGACTGCAAACAAATTAAATACAATAATATCTAAACATGCTAAATACTACTGGAAATATCTCATAATGAGGAAACTTTAGTTTAAGCAGTTTTTCCTTAGAAGTTTGAAAAGCCTTAACTTATGCAAACATGCAAGACTACATTCAAAATAAACTGTTTCTGATATCTGAAGACTGATTGATGTCTACTTAATATGTGAAGGATGCTATTTTGTATATTGTTCATACCTTTATATTTCTTATTCCAAAAGGACACATAATGGACTAATCAATCTTTTCTTATAGAAATAGAAGAATTTAAAGCAGTAAATCACATAACAATTTACATTTTTAGAAACTTGTTAAAATGTTTAAGCACAACTAAAGATGAGGTCATCTGAATTCCTTGAAGGTTTTTTTTCCCCAGAATTGTGTGAATTATAAAGTGATAGATAGTAGGATAACTAATTCCAGATCCACTTGTACCCTTTAGAATTCCAGAATAAATTTTAGGATTAAGTAATTTATTTCAAATGTTTGACTTGCAGACAGGGGAGGCCTAAACCTGGGAGTAATTAGGTCAAGAATGAAGAGTTTAGACCACAAAATAATGAAGGGAATATTGAGGCAAAGAAGGATTAAAGGGGATTGGATATTTTACTTAGGTTGGAGGGAAGTTAGATCAAAGGGAGTTTGGGTGCATGTTGTAGGGAGTTGAAATTTATTTGTCTGTGCAGCTCAGTCTCTTTTTATTAATTGAAAAATAGTTTTGTGTAGATGTGTAGTGCTTTGAAAGTAAAAATTAAAAAAAATGTGTCAAAATAATATTTCAACTGTGTCATGATGTTAAGCATGTTCGCTCCTCTTGTTTTTGAATTTTTGCCAGATATTTAGAATCCTCTAGTTTTATCCATGAAGTGCCATTAAAAATTTTGCCCACTAGCCCCGACTTTTCTTTCCATAATTTGATTACATATAGTTTAAAACGTCATCGTTGAAAATCTTGTGAAATCCTTGTTATTTTTTCATCGTTTTTGAAAGAAAAAAGGTGTTAATGTTAAATGTATGAAAAATCTAGAGAGAATTGTTTCCTGCCAAATTTTCAATGGCTTATATATTTTGAAAACAAGCACACGGACCCTTCATTTTTTTCTGCTTTTTTAGTTTCTTTATTTATATACTATCAATCTATAACAGTCTTTTAAAAAGCTTGTTATTTTGAAACAGAGTAGCAAACATCCTTAAAGTATCTTTTTTCAGACTATAATGAATTAAAAGATAATAGGTTCCAGTCTTTTGAATAAAAATGTAGTGTACTAAGATCTAATTTGTTTTTTTTAGAGATTGAGAAACTGCTTGTTAAATTTACCACTAGAAGATGGACAAGAAATAAAAGACAAAGCTGTAGAAAGAGTTGCCTCTCACATCTTAGTCCAAGACTATGATCCTAAAATTGACATTATAATGAAAGGTACCACAGTTGATTTAACTGGTGCAGCATAGTAAAGCAATTGTTGCATGCTGAAATATTTTGGGTTAGGTATTTCTGAAAGTTTATACATTATTATTTTCTAACTGGATTAATTTGTTCATGTCTGACATAGTCCTTCCAAGGGCATTCTACCAAAGTGTATGTGCCATGGAACTAAATTTCCAAACAGACTTAGGCTTGTATGTTTGTGTTATTTGTTTAATTGGTTATTTTTTCTTTAAAATACCATTACAATAAACTATTTAGCTCGGTGCACAAGAAGCACTTCATCAGGTACATTCAAGACTTAAGTTTTTCAAGCCAAATATGCAGAGTATTGGGGCGTTAAAACAAAAAACACCTAAACAGAGCAGCACTGTTGAAAGTTAGTTTTATCTGAGGTAGTTGCAACTATAGTTTTAATACAGTTATTGTAGATTCATTTATTTTCGTGAGTACCATTTTCTTTGGATTGAGAAAAAAATGCTTTTTCTTGGCTATTTGATTGCATGATATAAGCCTATGTAAATTTGTAAGTCATTAAACATTAAAATTTGTGGTTTACCTAAATCCATGAATAACCAATCACCAGTACCTAAATAAGACTTTTAGAAAATTTACCTAAATCTTGGAATAATCAATCACCAGTTCCTAAATAAGAATTTTAGAAAATTTACCTAAATCTAAAAATAATCAATCACCAGTACCTAAATAAGACTTTTAGAAAATTTACCTAAATCCAGGAATAATCAATCACCAGTACCTAAATAAGACTTTTAGAAAATTTACCTAAATTTAGGAATAATCAATCACTAGTACCTAAATAAGAATTTTAGAAAATTTACCAAAATCTATGAATAATCAATCACCAGTACCTAAATAAGAATTTAGAAAATTTACCTAAATCTGGGAATAATCAATCATCAGTATCTAAATAAGAATTTTAGAAAATTTACCTGAATCTAGGAATAATCAATCACCAGTACCTAAATAAGACTTTTAGAAAATTTACCTAAATCCACGAATAACTAATCACCAGTACCTAAATAAGAATTTTAGAAAATTTACCTAAATCTTTGAATAATCAATCACCAGTTCCTAAATAAGAATTTTAGAAAATTTACCTAAATCTAAGAATAATCAATCACCAGTACCTAAATAAGACTTTTAGAAAATTTACTTAAATCCAGGAATAATCAATCACCAGTACCTAAATAAGACTTTTAGAAAATTTACCTAAATCTAGGAATAATCAATCACTAGTACCTAAATAAGAATTTTAGAAAATTTACATAAATCTATGAATAACCAATCACCAGTACCTAAATTAGAATTTAGAAAATTTACCTAAATCTGGGAATAATCAATCATCAGTACCTAAATAAGAATTTTAGAAAATTTACCTGAATCTAGGAATAATCAATCACCAGTACCTAAATAAGACTTTTAGAAAATTTACCTAAATCCAGGAATAATCAATCACTAGTACCTAAATAAGACTTTTAGAAAATTTACCTAAATCCCTGAATCACCAATCACCAGTACCTAAATAAGAATTTTAGAAAATTTACCTAAATCTTGGAATAATCAATCATCAGTACCTAAATAAGAATTTTAGAAAATTTACCTGAATCTAGGAATAATCAATCAATCACCAGTACCTAAATACGACTTTTAGAAAATTTACCTAAATCCATGAATAATCAATCACCAGTACCTAAATAAGACTTTTAGAAAATTTACCTAAATCTAGGAATAATCAATCACCAGTACCTAAATACGACTTTTAGAAGATTTACCTAAATCCATGAATAATCAATCACCAGTACCTAAATAAGAATTTTAGAAATTCACAGTCCTTTGGTGACTGCCTCCTTGTCAAATATACAACCATTTGTTAAATTTGTTTTATTTTGTATTGATAATTACCTACAGGTGATGATGCCAAAGGAATTTTTGTCATCATAGATGGTAGTGTGAATGTTTTGTCAGAGAATGGGACTGATGTTTTGGCTACATTACATGAGGGAGATTATTTTGGTGAAATTTCTGTACTGTTTGACTGTCCCTGTACAGCAAGAGTCCAGACGATAACTAAGTAAGTGTAAAAATATAGCTCATTTCTTATAGTAAAAGGTCTTCATATTTGCGCTTAAAACAACAAAGTTTCAAGTTTTATAGACGTTATGATATTTTATATCCTCCTTTCTGTCAGCCATTCCATTTATTTGTAGGTGATCAATTCAGTTGTTATTTGTTTAGGTTGTTTAATTTTTATTGAATATCTTTGAAATATTAATATTGATCTCAAAACTTTGGATGATTTCAGTTACTAGACAAAAAGAAAATAATATGAAAAGGGGCTCATTATACAAATACATAATAATTTGGTGTCTAGTTTTATTTTTAGATTCTTTGAAAACTTATTGAAATCTCAAATGAATTTAGGAATCATCAATTTCACTGATCAGTTCTCTATATGTTATAATAATTGTGTCTTCATTCTAAGCAGTAGATTAGCAAGCAAGTCCCCCCAAAAAGGCTGTCAGACATCACATCACTCTTAGAAAAGGAATAGAATATTCTTGTTTTACTGATACATTTACACAGGGTTGTTAAAAATAAAGCAGAAAAATATGTAAATCCATATTTTCACCAAATGTTTTCAGATGTCAGTTTGCCGTATTGGAGGTGAATGCTGCTAAACGTCTGTTACGTAAAATTGATGTTGATCTGATAGATTATTTTGTAACAAAGAGGTATTTACCCACTAGTGATCACATGGATGTTAATAGGACACAGCGTAGACTGGTACTTTCATGCTTAAAGCAGGTTGGTATGAAATAATATCTATACTATAATTTTTTCCCAGGGATCAAAACAGATGAAGTTTCAATAATGACATAATAAAAATAAATATTTTAATTTGAAAAATAATTAATGAATTTTAAATCTGATGGCAAAACAGCATATATATATTTTGATATTTGTGTATCTTAATTTCTGGGGCCTTGGTGGCCCAGTAGTCCAACTACTGTTTCACTAGCCTGTCAACACTGAGGTTGTGAGTTCAAACCCTGCACGTGGCAGGTGTGCTCAACTTTAACCTCAACTGACTTGAATTGTCAGTTTTCAAGCCGAAGGTCAGTGGTTCTCTCTGGGCACTCCTGCTTCCACCACAAATAAAAACTGACTGCCACAAAATATCTTATAGTGCTGATGGTGGCTTTAAACACCATTCAATCAATCAATCTTAATTTCATTACAAAATTTAAAAAGTTATTTATAGTCACTCTAAATTATACTGACAAGCTGTTGTCAGGGTGTTGCATTCAAGGATCAAGGAGTACCACCAGTCCTGTTCTTGTCATCGCAACTCCTCTGAAATCGCACAACAGAATTTCATGAAACTTTGTAGATAATAAGGACATACCATGTAGATGTGCATATCAATAGGAAATTACGATTCAATTTTTTTTCTAGGAGTTATGTCCCTTTTAACATAGAATTTGGGCCAAAATATACTTTGTCATCGCAACTCCTCTAAAACCTCAAAACAGAATTTCATGAAACTTTGTAGATAATAAGGACATACTATGTAGATGTGCATATCGACAGGAAATTACGATTCACTTTTTTATCTAGGAGTTATGCCCCTTTAACTTAGAATTTTGGCCAAAATATACTTTGTCATCGCAACTCCTCTGAAACCACACAACAGAATTTCATGAAACTTTGTAGATAATAAGGACATACTATGTAGATGTGCATATCGACAGGAAATTTTGATTCAATTTTTTTTCTAGGAATTATGCCCCTTTAACGTAGAATTTTGGCCAAAATATACTTTGTCATCGCAACTCCTCTGAAACCACACAACAGAATTTCATGAAACTTTGTTGATAATAAGGACATACTATGTAGATGTGCATATCGACAGGAAATTATGATTCAATTTTTTTTCTAGGAGTTATGCCCCTTTAACTTAGAATTTTGGCCTAAATATACTACTGCAACAATTTGTAATCACAACTCCTCTGAAACCACACAAGAGAATTTCATGAAACTTTGTAATTAATGAGGACATAATATGTAAATGTGCATATCCACAAGAAAATTTTTATCAGTTGACTTTTGTAGAGTTATGAATCTTTGAACTTAGGAATTTTGTTTGTCCAGTGACAATGTTGGGGCGCAGGGTATGTGAGTGTACTCACAAATGTTCTTTAATTTCCGGATAATCTTCATCCGGTACTGTCAAGACCAACAAGTTTTGTATGATAAATGCATAAAATGTTTGTGACAGCTATATTAGTGATTTTCAATTTTTCCTGGTATTCTTATCATAATAGACCAAGTGTTCACTAACAACATTGTTGAAAATGTTCTCTAACATTGAGAGCCACGCTGGGCATGGGATTTCATATCTTCATTTAGACAAGATCGCAATATGATCATAGATGTTTGTAACGAGGCAAAGAAAACATAAGTTTAATTTCATAATTATATTCACCACCATTAAAATCATTGTATATATGATACATGATAATAAAATATTAAAAAGGAGTGCAAAATATTTATTGATTTCTCCATTTCCTTTTCTAGCTACCTGTATTTGAAAAGTGGTCTGAGGAAGCAATGAAAGAACTGGTAATGCAGATTAAACCAGCTCTAGTCATCCTGTATCAGGCCAATACATTGGTTATCTGTGAACAAGATCCACCAGTGGCACTGTATGTCATAATCAGGGGAAGGTAAGTCAAGATTAAACCAGCTCTAGTCATCCTGCATCAGTCCAATAAACTGGTAATCTGTGAACAAGATCCACCAGTGGCACTGTATGTCATCATCAGGGGGAGGTAAGTCAAGATAAAACCAGCTGTAGTCATCCTGTATCAGGCCAATTTACTAGTAACCTGTGATTAAGATCCACCAGTGGCACTGTATGTCATCACCAGGGGGAGGTAAGTCAAGATAAAACCAGCTTGTGTCATTCTGTATCAGTCCAATATTCTGGTAACCTGTGAACAAGATCCTCCAATGGAACTTTATGTCATCATCAGGGGAGGTTAAGTCAAGATAAAACCAGCTTGTGTCATTCTGTATCAGGCCAATATACTAGTAACCTGTGAGCAAGATCCTCCAATGGAACTTTATGTCATCATCAGGGGAGGTTAAGTCAAGATAAAACCAGCTCTTGTTATCCTGTATCAGTCCAATACACTGGTAATCTGTAAACAAGATCCACCAATGGCACTTTATGTGATCATAAGGGGGAGGTAAGTCAAGAGAAAACTAGCTTGTGTCATTCTGTATCGGGCCAATAAACTGGTAATCTGTGATTAAGATCCACCAGTGGCACTTTATTGTCATCATCAAGGGGAGGTAAGTCAAGATAAAACCAGCTTGTGTCATTCTGTATCAGGCCAATAAACTGGTAATCTGTGAATAAGATCCACCAATGGCACTTTATGTGATCATAAGGGGGAGGTAAGTCAAGATAAAACCAGCTTGTGTCATTCTGTATCAGGCCAATACACTGGTAACCTGTGAACAAGATCCTCCAATGGCACTTTATGTCATCATCAGGGGAAGGTAAGTCAGTGTTAAATGTTTTACAAAGTGAAAAGGTGTTGCCCACATAATATTTAACAACCTAAGTAATTTATACTTTAAATTAAAATATAGATTTCTCGATTATTTTTCTTATATACGCCAATATTAGGAATCAATTTGAATAAAATAAGTGTGTAAAATTAAAATGAATATAAATGACCACTGCCACCTTCCTCCAATTTGTATTATAAAAAAATATTGCATTTTTTATGCCAAGCAACATAAGTTAAACAATCTTTTTGTTGATTGGGCTAAGAAAATAACAACTATTACTGTATATTCAGAAATTATTGTGAGGTTTTTATTAATGCGAATAATGCGACTGGGTGGGAATCACAATAATAAGAACTCGCATTCTTATATCTGATACATATATCTGTATGCAGGTTTACTGAAATCGCAATAATTAATCTCGCATTTTTGTTCATTCTTTAAAAATCGCAATAATAAATGCACGCAATAATTTCTGAATTTACAGTACTTGTTACCTATATTCTGACATCGGACTCAGACTTCTTTTAAACTGAGTTTTACTGTGCATATTGCTGTGTGTTTGTTTATTCTACATTGGCTAGAGGTATAGGTGGAGGGTTGAGATCTCACAAAACATTTTAACCCCGCCGCATTTTTGCCCCTGTCCCAAGTCAGGAGCCTCTGGCCTTTGTTAGTCTTGTATGTTTTTTAAATTTAGTTCATTTCTATGTTTTGGAGTTTAGTGTGACGTCCATTTTCATTGAACTAGTACACATTTTTGTTAAGGGGCCAACTGAAGCCCGCCTCCAGGTGCGGGATTTTCTCCCTGTGTTGAAGACCTATTCGTGGCCTTCGTCTGTTTTCTGCTCTTTGGTTGGGTTGTTGTCTTTTTGACACATTCCCTATTTCCATTCTCAATTGTATCCTTTATACTGTATCATATTTTATTATATATATTTATTTGTTTGCATGTTTATATCTTGACAGAGCCTTGATAAAGAAAGATGATGATGTCATCTTAGAAATAGATGCAGACAAACATCCAGCAGTTATTGGAGAAGAAGGTTTGTGAATTTATTTTTTGGGCTTTGTGGGAGTTGAGAACTGTAAAAGAAAAACCATCACCAGAATTTTGTCTATCATTGTGCACATCTTACAAAAAATCATTTACCTACAAGCATATTACCATTTGTACCTAGTATTTATTTAAAAAAATGATTTACCTACATGCATATTACAATTTGTAAAGATTTATTTGGGAGAGTCCCAGGAAAAGGTCACAAAAGACCTGCACCGATTCCATGATAAATAGTGTCCTAATATTCATTCAAAATTTTAATGGATGCATAAGTATATATAATCAATACTTATGTCCAAACTAAGTTTTCATACAATTTTTCTTTCGAAAAGTCTTCTATATTCATAAGAATCCGACATCATTTGAATTAAAACATCTTATATTCAGTAAAATATATGTGAAATAACAATATGTTGTTAATAAGTTTCCATGGGAGATAATCTAAAATCATTATTCTTATGAATATATGGGTCTTTTCGAAGGAAAAATTGATTATCTCCCATGGAAACTTACTAACAACTTATTGTAATTACACATATATTTTACTGAATATAAAACGGTTTCATAAAACAAATTGCAATTTGGTCAGAATTTTGAATAAATTGCAATAGGTGGGGAGCAACACTTACAGTCAAGTCACAATAAATGAAAATGCAGTGTGGGGCGTCATTGAAATAACTAGCCATCCTTTTTGTCTTGTTAACGCTCTCACATGTACAATTCTTGCAAGGTTTTTTTTTATATTAAATTTATATCAAAGGTTTATATCAGCAATAACCTTACAAGTCTGATAACCCGACCCAAACAAATATTTTGAAAGGAAATACCCCTTGGAATTCTCAAGCCTACATTTCTTTTAGGATTGTTATGAAATGTATATCAGCAATATATTAGAAGAGTTAAAAAATCAACACTGATTAGTTATTTTGACCAGAGTTATGTCTCTTAGAAATGTACATTCTATGGAAAATTGTATTTTAAGCATTCTCATGCCTACATCTTGTATAAAGGATTGTAATGAAATTTATATCAAAGGTTTAATTCAGCAATGTTCAAGGACAAGTTCGAAATTCAGCCCTAATCAATTAGTTTTACAGGAGTTATGTCCCTTTGAAAAGAAATTTATATTGAAAATTGCAGTGTAAGCACTGTCACACCTACATTTCTATTTTGAATTTATATGAAATATATATCAGGAAGGTCTTTGAAGAGTTCCAACCAACTATTTTTACAGGAGTTTTACCACTAGGAAATGAAAATTATATAGAAAATAACATTGCTACCGATCTCATTCTTACAATTATTACAGGATATTTCTGAAAAAGTCTTTTTTAAGGTATTGCCCTGGGATAGATAAAAAAAAATGTGCAATGGTGGGGGACATTGGAATTCTTTTTTTTTTAAAGTGTAACATTTATTTCTGCTTCTAGAGTTAAAGCATAAAACAAGCAGCTTCAATTTACAAACAAAATAAAATGACAACAGGACGGCTTGTAAAGATTTTTTCCCATCATTTCAAATACTTCACCATTCACATTATCAAAAAATGTATATTTGTAGAGTTCTCCAGCATTAAATATATGTATCCTTCAATGTAAATAAATTAGTGAACTCAATTAGAAAACACTGGAATTCTGTTTTTAAGGTGTATACAATTATTGTAAGGTGTACATGTTTGTTTTATAGAATAGACAATTATTTTTTTTGCTGCATGCTTTTGTATTAGCAAGAAATATCTCTTTTCATTTGAACGTTTTAGAAAGTTTTGGGCAAAATATTGAAATATGAAAATTTGTGTTTTTACCTCAAACAGGCCAAAGTCAAACCGAAATATCTTGTTAAATGAAGTTATGAAGGTGTATTTTTCTTTGTATTTTCAATAGTGCATATCAAAATTGACTTTGTGTCAAAATTTAAGAAAAAATCAGAGTGAGATATCTTCTGTATCATATGCCCTTAATGAACCTTCTTTAACAGATCAAAATTTTAAAAAATGTGCTAAATATTTAAACAGTTGTGACTAGACTTAATGGCCCAGTGCTCTGATCACAACATTTTACTGAATTTGTATTGATATATCTAGCCCAGTGTAAACTAGCTTATGGTTCCATTATGTAATGTATATCAGTTTTTAGCTCACCTGGCCCGAAGGGCCAAGTGAGCTTTTCTCATCACTTGGCGTCCGTCGTCCATCGTCGTTCGTCGTCGGCGTTAACTTTTTACATTTTGAACTTCTTCTAGAGAACCACTAATTCTTATGAGGTGCTCACCGAGTGTTGTTCCTTTGAAGCCGATCCATAATCCAAGATGGCCGCCGGCAGGGACTTAGTTTAACATAGGACCCTATATATGGGAAATACATACAAATGTCTTCTTTTAGAGAACCACTGAATGGAATGAAACCAAACATGGTATGAATGTTCCTTATGAGGTGCTGACCGCGTGTTGTTACTTTGAAACCGATCCATAATCCAAGATGGCCGCCTGCAGGGGACTTAGTTTAACATGGGACCCTATGAGAAATACATACAAATGTCTTCTTTTTAGAGAACCACTGAATCGAATGAAACCAAACATGGCATGAATGTTCCTTATGAGGTGCTGACCGAGTGTTGTTACTTTGAAGCCGATCCATAATCCAAGATGGCCGCCTGCAGGGGACTTAGTTTAACATGGGACCCTATGAGAAATACATACAAATGTCTTCTTTTTAGAGAACCACTGAATCGAATGAAACCAAACATGGCATGAATGTTCCTTATGAGGTGCTGACCGAGTGTTGTTACTTTGAAGCCGATCCATAATCCAAGATGGCCGCCAGCGGGGGACTTAGTTTAACATGGGACCCTACGGGAAATACATACAAACGTCTTCTTTTAGAGAACCACTGAATGGAATGAAACCAAACATGGCAAGAATATTCCTTATGAGGTGCTGACCAAGTGTTGTTACTTTGAAGCTGATCCATCATCCAAGATGGCAGCCAGCGGGGGACTTAGTTTAACATAGGACCCTATGGGATAAACATACAAATGTCTTCTTTTAGAGAACCACTGAATGCAATGAAACCAAACATGGCATGAATGTTCCTTATGAGTCGTGACCAAGTGTTGTTACTATGAAGCCGATCCATAATCTAAGATGGCCGCCAGCGGAGGACTTAGTTTAACATAGGACCCTATGAGAAATACGTACAAATGTTTTCTTTTAGAGAACCATTGAATGGAATGAAACCAAACATGGCATGCATGTTCCTTTTGAGGTGCTGACCAAGTGTTGTTACTTTGAAGCTGATCCTTCATCCATGATGGCTGCCAGATGGGGACAATGTTTAACAAAGGACCCTATGGACAATACATACAAATGTCTTCTTTTAGAGAACCATATACTGAATGGATTGAAACCAAACATGGCATGAATGTTCCTTATGAGGTGCTGACTAAGTTTTGTTACTTTGAAGCTGATCCTTCATCCATGATGTCCACCAATGGGGGGACTTCCTTTAACATAAGACCCTATGGGAAATACATAGAAATGCTTCTTCTAGAGGTGCACTGAATGGAATGAAACCAAAACATGGCATAAATGTTTCTTATGAGGTGCTGATTAAGTGTTGCTACTTTGTTGCCGATTTACTGTTCAAGATGGCCACCAGGATTTTTTATTAAATTACAGGACCAATATTAAATCAAATTTGGCCTCACTCATTATTAGGGTATCTGTTATGATTTTAATCTATTTTTACATGATTTCCAAAACCAAAGTAGAATCAGGTGAGTGACACAGGCTCTTGAGAGCCTCTAGTTTTGATGTGGTACAACATACATGAAGGAAATGTTGAAGTAACTCTACTTGTTACTTCCCCCTTTAGAATGAATACTGATTTTTTTGTTTGTCACCAACCAAGATGGCCATAGTTTCCAGAAATAGAAAATTCTGTGAAAATTATATAGAAAAGTAATTTATGCATTAGTAGGTGAAATTCATTTTATAAATGCAGTAATAGTAATATTTTCTTCAATTCCTCTGTCCATATGTTAAACTTGGATATGTATGGCGGCTTGTTTTTTAAGTGCGGCACAATGGGGATAGTGATCCATAGGAATGAATTGCATATTCAATTTAAAAAAAATTGGTGAACTTATCTTGAAAGAATATATGATTTTCTTTCATAAAAATAGGCGATGGACCTGCCACTAAGTCTTGTCCAATATAGCTTCGACCATGAAACTTGAGTTCAGTGCTTTTCAAAGTCACAAGCAAGAAAAAAATTGCATAAGCAGTTTTGGAAATCTTCCCTCTGAAACAATTGACCAAATTTACACCAAATTTGACCCTGACAATGATCCTTCATGATAAGTCTTTAGTTTAAACTGTTATTTAAGAAGCCAACCTACATGCCTACATACATGTCCTTTGGTTTCTGGTGGAAAGTTGTTCGGCAATCAAACCACACCTCTTTATTAATATACTACTTACATGACCATTGTTACAAAAATAGAACATAGGGACAAATGCATTTGATTGTCAAAATTAATCTTCAGTTGTACACTGTTGGAAATAGAAAACATTATGGGCCAATTAAATGCATATAATTGTCAAAAATTAGTCTAGAGTTGTATAATTTAGAAATACAAAAGGTCATCAAGACAAAAAAGACTTTTGATTGCAACCAAACCAGAGGGTATTATAAATGAAGGGTTCACTTTAAGAAGTATTAATGATGTCCACAACAGTCATAACACACTGAAGATGCTTTAAAAATCCAGTCACTATTGACAATTTAAATCCAGGTGAGCAATGCAGCCTCCTTAGAGCTTCTACACTCTATGAAATACAGTATTCTTTATTTCTCTTTTGCTTGTACAATGGAGCTATTCAACAGTTTTCATGGAACTGTTTTACATTATGACTTAATTTTGATATCTGTTTAAAGGTATGCACTTAAGGTGTAACAGTGCTGTGACCATCCAGACATCAACCTGCTGTCAAATCATAATTATCAAAGAGGAATGCATAGACAATGTTCTAAATAAGGTAAGAATCAAGATAAAATACTGTGGATTCATTTATTTTTCGTGGGTATCCTCGTCTCATGGGTTTTCCTGCTATTAAGAATGCATTGTAACGTCACAATTTCCATTGAAAAAGCATGCATAGTACGAATTCATATGATGTATGAAAGCATATGATATGACCATACCAATTTTCATGGATTAATGTTAAATTGTATCTCCGTGTATATTTGAATTCATGGTTTTGCCAAAGTCTGTATACAAGCTTATAAAACATTTGTATTTCAATGAACATTTGAATTTGTGGTTCATGTTTCCCTCAAAAATCCACGAAAATTGATATGTAACTAAAAATAATGAAAACACAGTAATATATATGATTAGAAGTAGATGTGGGGTTTTTGTCAATGAGACAACAACTCATTAGCAGAAAAACCAAATGACATCTAGAATATGAAAATAAGAGAGTGGAGAAGGATACCAAAGGGACATTCAAACTCATACGTTGAAAATAAATTGACAACGCCATGGCTAAAATAGAAAAAGACAAACAGACAAACAACAGTACACAAAACACAAAATAGAAAACCAAAGACTGAGCAACACGAACCCAACAAAAAACTTGGGGCGATTTCACATGCTCAGGAAGGGTAAGCAGATCCTGCTCCATATGTGGCACCCATCGCGTTACTCATATTAGTACAAACCTGGTGATAAGTCTTAGTTCTGTAGGTCACATTCTTGGGAAAAGGGATGGGATTGTAGTTACGACAATTAGAACATATCCGTTTTCATCTGTGAAACTGTTATTCCATAACAGTCAACCAACTCGTGATGGCATCCGTACAATTTACGAAGGGACGATTTCAAATTCACCACTTGGAACTCTTGGTTTAATAGCTTCCTTGTGAGCAGCAACCCTCTATCAAGGAAATCATGATAGGAAATACAAGCCCTGGAATATCGTATCAACTGGGAGATATATACGCCATATGCAGGCGCTGCTGGAATGTTGCTGCATAGAAATGGAAAGTTCAGAATTGGGAAGCTTGGGATATGAAGCTTGAAGGAGATGTGGTATGATTGCCAATGAGACAACTTTCAACCAGAGACCAAAGGTCAAGTATATCAACATTCAATCCTATACAATATGTCATTCAATGATTGCTCCCTCTCTAAAAAAGTATTTGATATAATATATATTTTATAATTACCGGTAGATGTTTATTGATTATATGATATTTGTCTCATTTTATGTCTGAAAACAAAACAATAAATCCCAAATTTTCCACATCACTATTTAAAACAAATGTTTTCTTTTAAGTTTATGATTTTGATCAGGAACATGTGAAAAAATAATGAAGTACAAATATGCAAAATAAGAAGACTTTTATTGTCTCTCTTTGATGATGTTGAAAAAGGGAGACTTAAGCATGCTGTTTACAGTAGCGGCGGCTGAGCATCAACAATGTATTTGTGTGTGATTTGGTCAGTAAATTGGAACCATGAGTGACAGGTCAACGATATTTGGTATGCAGTTGTATAAGCATTGGCATATCTCATTTCCATGGAGATTTTTTTGGACCCACCCCATAGTCATGGTCTATTGACTTTGAATGTTTTGTATAGTTTATATGATAAAGTTTGTGATAAGTTCAGTTTAAGATGAAGCACTAATGTTAAGTAAATGATATTTGTTATTCAGATGTATAAGCATTTGCAAGTCTCATTTCCTTGCAGATTATTAGATCTTGTCCCATCATCATGGTTCATTGACTTTGAAACTCTTGCATAGTTTCCAAGTTAAAGTTTGTGTATAGGTTAGTTTAAAGGAAACCACTAATGATAATTCAATGGTATTTGGTACACAGTTTTATAAGCATTGGCATGTCTCATTTCCAGACGTTTTATTTGGTGGCGTCTGTTCAGTCATGGTTCATTGACTTTGAATGTCTTGCCTAGTTTAATAGAAATGAAAGGATATAGGACATCCACCTATGACAAAAAATCAGTACAGATACCGAGTCAATGCTCGAATGTTCAGCCATGTCATTAACAAATGTATGCTGACAACGTGACAAATTATCCATCACAAGCTACATTGTTAGAATATTAATCCATCGAAAAACTATATCAAATCGTAAAGTTTGTATTCCAAATGTCACAAATATATTAATTTCCAGTTAAAAACAATTAAGATATCCATTATTTTCAAATAAACATAAGAGGGATAAATTCCATGACTTGACCTCATAAGACCAAATACGCTAGTGACCTCTACGATCTGCATGTGCATCTCATGGTACTCTCAGCATATAGGTTCAATGAAATTGTATATTACATACATTTTTTGACAGATCATTTCAGGTTGTGCAGAAATATGGAAAGCAAGAGAATTAAAGTGGAGGGCATTGGTTAACAAAACTGATGTTTTATATAGGACATTTCCTCATCTATTGCAATTCGAGGTACATCTACTGTTTATCAATAATATGTTAGATAAATTGTACAAAAGAAAGAAAATTTAAAACTAGAACTTGGACAAGGGTGTCAGTCTTGGTTGCTACCATCTCTTGGGGTCAATCATCTATCTTTAAAAAAAATAGTATAAACCAAATTTAGTCTTAATAACTCAAGGGTCTACATCTAAATTTGTGTACAATAACCACTAAAGGCAAATTAAAGTTGCACTTTGTTGGAAATAAAACTCTGATAATGTCCTTTTAACTGAAATATTGAGCCTCTAATAATAGACCGTAAGTTACTGAGAAAATTTTGTCTGTGTTAAGGGTTTTTCTCTACATCATTTATCTGCATATTTGTGTGTCAAATGGTTAATATTGTGTCATTTCACCATTTTAGCAAATCAAATGGTACTTCATGGCTGCAGAATAGATGAAATAAGTGTAATTTTAATTCTGGAAGGAGAAGGATCAAATTTTGAAATGCAATTGATCTTTATTGACCTCATTTGCCCAAATTGTACATTCTCCCTTGGCAGAAATAAGACTTTTTTGGGGGGACTCATTTTCACTAATTTCATGATTGTCAAAATTATCACTTCCTGTTTATATGATATAATAAGTATACAAGTGTATATATATATATATATGTACAAGTCTAAATTGAAAACAACGTTCAAACCTATGATTGCGTTGGATAAAAACCGCAATTTTTATATGTGTGCATGCAAAACAAATTTCTTAGTAGAGGGGTCTAAATACAGCACAAACAACATTTTCCAAAAGACCAAAAAAGTGAAAAAGTATATTTTAACAAAATGCATTTGACTAGCAGGTCGAACAACGGATGTTCTTAAACCCTGCTGACTGCCATTGGCAATTGCCAAATATATATATATATTGAGCACTGTTTATAAATGCAAGTATTTAATCTATTTTAAATTACATCACCTAAATTTTTTATCAAATTTTCAGGTTCTTTTCCATTTTTTGAAAAACCATAGAATATTTGCCAGGTGCTCACCAAGATGTGTTCAATATTTAGCTCTGCAGGGTATACCTAATCAGTTTAGCACAGGAGATACTGTTTGTACTCAGGAGGAATATGGTGAGTATTGTTTTCACATATTCAATAAATATTAAGCAAATTATCTATAGTATCCAATATCAGTTCTCCGGTGGAAACACAGTTCGTGTTCAGTATATACAACTATGCAGGGTATATATACTATATCATACCGACCATGTAGGACCATCATGGGTAGTCAAGGTCATTATAAAAAAAACTTGATGACTATATCATTTCTCAGTTAGAGAATTGATTTGTACTAGTTTGGCAAGGCTTTTAATTTAGTAATCTCTTTTTTTATATGATCAGATTTTATATGTTGAATGAAAGTTACACTTTGAATGTCCATACTATACAAAATTTCATACAGGGCCTTGGCATCTTTATTCAATATATGTATACCATTTCCTTATTTTGGTCATAATGCCTTATATCTGGTAAAAGACCAGTAATTTCATTATATCCTCCATAGAGGGTAACCATTTTACTTTTATGATACATTTTGAACCCATGATTAAAACAAGGCTGAAGAAGATTTTGTTTTGAATCGAGAGTTCTCTGCAAAGGTAATAAAACCTATAATTTAAATTAGAAAATATTTATTTACAGATGACAACATGGTTATCTTGGTTGTTAAAGGAGAACTTGAACTGTTGACAAGTCCTGAAATAAGATATGCCTACACAATAAATACTGGTGACGTTTTCTGTAAGTTTTTACAATAGAGATATCAACCCTATTACTGGCTATCAATACAGCAGATACAATAGGACCTGTGTTTGTGATTGCTTTTAAAAACAATTATTTTAGCTATTGTGTACAGGAGATTTTTTGTTTGTTTGTCTGTGTTTCCAATTGCCATTGCAATATAATTTTGATCTGTGTTACTAATTGCATCTGCTGTACAGATACCTGGTAATAGTGTGTTGGTTTATTTGGAAGAAGATTGGACACCTTTCTACAGGGGAATAAAGCGATAATTCAATTGTCAATTAAGATGTCTATTAAAACTAATTGCCTGATTGATGTACAAAATAATAAACGAAAAAAACAAATATGATATACAGCAGCAAACGACAACCACTGAATTACAGGCTCCTGACTTGGGACAGGCACATACAGAATATGGCAGGGTAAAATATGTATGCTGGTGCCAAACCCTGCCCCTAATCTGGGAAAGTGGTGTAAAGGAACAACATAAGAACAAACTATAAAAATCAGTTGAAAAGGGCTTCAATCATCAGATCGATACAAAGCACATGGAACATAAACAAAAACACAAAAGACACAAAGTACAGATCTGAGAGTACTCACAGTTACTGAAAGCTAGTTCAAAGCAACTAAAACAAATCATGTGTCTAAGACCAAAATATATATTTATTTGAATAGATATGATCGATTCATTTGTCAATGAAAACACAGTTCATCAGTGTGTGTAAGGAATAATTTTGAAGGTTATATTTTAAGTTTATCTGAAATATATGATTTCTGAAACATCAGGCAGAATGAAACAAAACAATTTCATTTATGGTTTTAATCAAGAGATAATTTTTTTCTACTCTTTTACATTTGTTCTCTAGATCACTGTGATTGGATGGGAAGTAAGGGAGAAATTATTGCAAGAAGTGATTGTCTGGTGCTAAAAATAGACCATACTGAGATAACTGCAGCATTAGAAAGGAATAAAGACTCCCATTTGATGTTGCCTTCTGAACCAGTGTGAATGGCAAATATGTTGTTGGGAGTGTGCCCAGAAAATTTCTAATCAAAACAAAAATGTCGTTAATTTGTTTTTTAATGTCTGTCAGTCAGTGATTTTTAGGTGATTCATATTGAATGACATGCTTGCCAATCAAAATAATTTGTTCACTTAACTGTTATACTATTATTTCTTTGTTGATTATTTTATTAAATTTATTTGCTGTTACTGGTATTAGATTTGTTAGTGCTACAATTCTGTGGATTCATTTAATTTCATGTGTATCAATTTTCGTCTATTGTGGAAAACTTGCATTTTCATGGATATTTGATTTTGTGGTTTTGCCAAAGTCTGCATGTATTCAAATTGAAAATTTTTAATTTGTTGAACAATTAAATTCCAGGTTAGCTTGTACCCACAAAATTCACACAAATTGGTATCCAATGAATAATAATGAATCCACAATAAAATTGTAAACCAACTTATTTTTGCATGTATCCCTTTCTAGCCAACTTCGAGGCAATTCCTAATTTCTTTATGTATTGACATTAGTGAAGTTCTAAGATTTACATATTCATGATGATTTATATTCATGCTCTTTTTCAACTCTTCAAAATAAATCACTCACAAAAAATAAATTGGTTTAAAGTATCCATTACAAAATCTGAATGTTCAGAATAGTTTTAACGAGGAAAAAAATGTGTGAAACTGTTGTATCATTTTAGTTCTAGTAGTCAAAGTAGAACAAGATAGCGATTCTAAAGGAAAAATAAACTGGTCAGTCAGAATATTTTATGAACTGCTACTGATTGATGGAATTTTGGTTAAAAAATAGTTTCAACACAATGAACATGAAATGTATGATATAAAATGACCTTTAAATGAAAAGGGAGTTGGGATTAAACAGCAAATTAAGGATTGTTTATATGCCGGGGATTTACTTCAGCTGATGCATTATGGGTTTATTTTTCATTTCCAGTTTGCTTTGCCTTCAACAATTGTAAAGTCAAACACTGATATTACAGTTATGAGAAATGAATATGAACCCACTGTAATTAGATTCTAAACTGACATGGTAAGCCCAATCAAGTGTCTTTGAAGACCGGTAATTATAACATCATCAAAACCCATAATATGTCTGAAATGTTGTTGATGAAAGTACTTTAAGTCTGGTGACACTATTTTATATAGCACTTCATATGTAGGGTCCAGCCACATTTGTGGTGGATATAGAAAAGGACCCTCCCACGACAATAGATTTCAAGCCAATACTTGTCAAGAGATACACTACCTATTACTCTACTATGGATTGAAATAACTACAATATACATTATACATAGTTGAACATTCACCATTTGACCAATTACGCAACTTAAGAACAATGTATTTTTCGCCATAAATTTCTGTTGTCCAAAATTGATTGGCTGTTAAGTTAACAACAATCATTCCATAACTGATGAGGCATTTAGCAAACACCAATCAATAAATCATTTATTGGCAAATATTCTATCAATCCAGTTTCATAATTGTTTATGATTGTACTTATTTTGAAAAATAAAAATAAGAAGATGTGGTATGATTGCCAATGAGACAACTCTCCATCAGACTAAATGATGTAGAAGTTATCAACTATAGGTCACTTTACGGTCTTCAACAATGAGCAAAACCCATACTGCATAGTAAGCTATAAAAGGCCCCAAAATGACAAAAGTATGTAATACGAAAGTTTTACCACAAGTATCACATAAACTAGACCGAATAATCTTTCTCTTGTGTGTTTATATTTGTCATTTCATATTTTTTGTGTGGACACAAAAAAAAAACAACAACAAAAAAATAAAAATCCAAAATGATATAAAGGAAATATGAAATGACAAATATAAACACATAAGAGACAGAATAATCAGTCTACACATAATCTTGACATTATCAATGATCCATGTAAATGAGGTCAAAGTTTGATGAACTCTGGCAGACAGACATGTATACCTCACATTCAATATAATTAGCCTATAGTTTATAGTATCTGAGAAACAGATAAACCACGAAAACTTAACAATGATCAATGAACCATGAAAAAGAGTTCAAGTTCAAATGAACCTTGCCAGACAGACATATATATTAATCATTCCATACACCAAACATAGTTTACCTATTGCATCTGATAAACCTACAAAACTTAACTATGAAAACTCAACATTGACCAATGAACCATGCTAATGAGGTCAAGGTCATTTGAAACATGCCAGACAGAAATGTACACCTTAAAATCATTTCATACACAAAATATAGTGACCCTGTTGCTTATAGTGTCCAAGAGATGACCAAACCAAAAAATCTGAACACTGTCCAATGTAGGATAATGCCGGGCATGTCAAGGTCAGATGAAAAAATACCAGACTGACATGTACAGCTTACAATCATACTGTACACCAAATACAGCTGATCTATTTCTTAGGGATCATAGATTTATTCTTACGAGGAAGCTCCGAGCATGCTCGGAGGATGCTCAGAGCTTTTTAAGTAGGCTCTTCTCAGCAGTTAATGTGACAATAATTATCATGATCCATTAAGATGTCAATCAAATCTACACCACTTCTATGATAAGGAAAGTAGAGCATTATAGAGGATGCTCCATAAACACCTGTGTAAACATCTGGTCTATTCTAATACATTATGCATTAAATTTTACAAAACTATAAAATAGATTAGAAATTCTTCAACAGTGCTGTGTAATGCTTAGAAAGAAATCTCAAGTCTCCACAAAAAGTAAAAGTCATTCAAATATTTTCTTATTATATTTAATAATCATTCTTTTTTTTTATAATAAAAAAATTCTCAAACTTTATAATTAGATGATATGATTTAAAAATAGTTTATATTATATAATATGCTACATAAAAGTTATCAAGACACAAACAACAGTCAGGTGGCGATACTAAACAAGTAATTTTTTTTAGTCACTTTTATAAATATTTTTTGTTTTTAAAAATTATTTAATAACTCAATAGTTATTTTAAATGACAAATAAAGCATGGACTAAATGTAGTTTTCAAGAATTTTTATATCATTTCATTAAATAAAATTAAGTATTTATCCAATTTTAGATGAGTATAGAGAGGTTACTTTAAAAAATAATGACAAAAATATTACTTTAATAAATTATTTTATACAACTTCAAAAAACTTAGTACTTACAATTATTTAAGGAATACATGTATATGTAATTGCTTTCGATTAAGATTCAAATTATAAATAACTTCAAGTCTTAATTAAAGGTTCCATATCTAGTTATAACTGTTTATCTCTAAGATTTTAAGGGGAAATGATATTATAATAGCCCATTAATCCAAACTAACACTTTTGCTTCCCCTCCCCCCTTTTTCCCATTGTTGGTTTTCCCCTGTACTTATATGCCTTAATTGTCTCTGCTGTTTGTGTGCGTTTGTGACTGTTTATCAAAAAGGAGTCCCAACCAAATCCTGAACTGAATTGAATTACTAGTCCAGAGTCTGGTGAGGAAACCTTGGATATGCAATCAAGGCTTGAATAAATACCAAAAAACAGGTTTGGGCCAAGTAATCCACAGTTTAATTATAAATTCCAATTAGATGCAAACATATAATTGGCAAAATATAGGCGAAAGACAAAAATACATAGATCAGCAAAACTGTGGTACTCCAAAATTTTGTCCCAAACCTGTATAGAAGTAGTGTGTTAGGTGTGTTAAGAGGAGGTTGTGAAAGCCGCAGTAAAGGCTTGCATTACCTGATGACGGTATGATAGAGATGGGTCTATATATGCCTTGTATGCATCGCTACGCCAGTCGCCTTGAGCTTGTATGACCTCACTAGGGAGGCCACATTCCAAAGCAAAGGAAGCCCCACCCCTGCGAAAACTATGACCAGAATATTGGTTGCAATCAAAACCTAAGTGCTGCAAAGCCCGCCTTAAGCGACTTAAAAAGGCTGGATATGTCAGTGGCGTTACTAAATTTTTTTGTAAATAGATAAACGCAGGGGAAGGGGTTGTGGTCTTAGGGACCAGATTATGCAACAATAATAATGCACTTGCAGGACAAAATGGGGAATCTTTTATCCTGGGAAGGGGGATCTCTAATACCCTTTGTGCATACTGAATGGTCTTGGTCTTGTGGATTCTTAAAATAACCCCTTGCGGTTGGAAAATAATATCCTGTCTGCTCAAATGAACTTTTGGATCAAATAGTGCGGGTGAAGGGGGTAATAAGTTGGATTTCCTCAGAAATGAGAAAAAGGCAACCAAACAAGCAGCCCAGAAGGCCAAGTCCCCAGAACATGAAAGGTTAATTGTGGTAAAAATGCGTCGTAGAATAGATGGTGTAATGGGTAATTTCCTATTACTAACAGGGCCAAGTACCCTCTTAGCTCCTTGTAAAACAGAATGTACAAAATGACCAGCTAAAGGATCTGGTAATCCTGCTTCGACATGAATTAATTTAACAATGATCAAATAATTTGCAATAGAGTTAAATTGCAGCTTGCGAGATAAAAAGGCAATATACCGGGCAACATTCTTAGGTGACAAAGGAAATAATGGTATTTTATACCCTGTACAAAATTGGACATAAGATCTTAAATAAGTCATGTATGTCTTTTTAGTTGATTCCGCAAATGTATTTCCCCGAAAATGGAGGACCAGATCATCCAGTTCCTTTAAATTCCTGGAGCCCTGTGTGCCTACACAAAAGAAAAGAAAGCGCAGCATTAGACATATGTTTGTGCAAGTGAGAAATAAACAGGGGCTGTGGTAAATAATAACGCATAAAAATTTCGAAGGATCTGGGCTCATGTAGTCTAGAAATATGATCCGCTATCACATTGCTAGCACCTGGGACATGAACAGCTTTAATATGAAAATTGAACAAAGCAGACAGCCAAAAAAGTTCTCTCAAAAAACCCATTAAAATCGGGTTACGAGACGTACATTTATTTATGCAGGCTACTGTGGTCATATTATCACAGAGAACTACGACCCTCTTGTTAGCCCAATTACTAGCCCATTTTTTTGCAGCTAAGAAAACAGAAAAAGCCTCAAGTTCATTTATATGAAAATTTGAACAAGCAGGAAAATCTTTGTTCCAATTGACATAGAACCAGTCTAAATCATGGAGGCGGCCCCCTCCTTCTCTACAAGCATCTGTTATCACTGATGTGACAGGTTTTTTATCTAATATAAGAGATTTCCCAT